ATGACTGTACGTATAAAATTTAAATTTTGCATTTGTTCTGACGTTCTTTTGCTGCTCATAGGGTGGCATTGAAGTCAGTCTGTGGCCAGTAATATATTATAATTTTTTAGTAAATAAATAATGTGGGTTTATTTCTATTGCAAATCACCATTTGTGTTCATACATGTTCTGAAGTTTGATTACTGCCTGTGAGATAGTGTCAGAGTCCGTAACATTAGCAGTAAATGCAATTATTCCATTGTTTGCAAATTTTTAAACTTATGATTAGTGCTTCAAAAATGCCTCCAAAATGTAAATCTAGCATTTGTATTGTATTGTATTGTATTGTATTGTATTGTATAGTAAATCTAGCAGTGGAGATAAATGCAAGAAGTGTCACTCTATTACCATGGAAAATAAATGACATTATAAAACTAAGTATGTTAGGTGAAAAACACTCGTTTGTAACATTCGTTACTAAGCAGTAGTGAATGGGTAAACTAGTGTAATGTATTTTATTAAGTACATTGAAGGATCAAACCCTAACAGTATGTGGTTATTCTGTGTACAAGTGTACTTTCTATGTTAGTTTGACTTACAATTTCATTTACAATTACATTTCAACTATGACAAAATTTTGGTAACTTGTTTATAAGTAAGGGAGCTCCTGTATTATTTATTTTATGAGTAAATGTTCACAAGAAATATCTTTAATCAATTCCTAATTCAATACTTGTTAAGATTAATTAATGTTGTTGAAAAAAGTTTACAATAATTACTGTTGTTGTTAATTTTAAGAATATTGTTTGAACAAAATTTATAAATTAAATGTATAAATATTTGTTACATACAGTTGTTTGGGATTTGCCATTACCATTAATATCTACTAATAATTTGCAATCTTAATACATGTTTAAAAGAGTTGAAAGATTTCTAACAAACTGAAATTTTCTGTGGATCAGTTTTTTACTGGAATAAAACAGTACTCTAATATCTGTATATTAGAAATTGCTATTACTATGAAATTTTCCATAAATTTTTGCTATTATCACATGTCAGCTTATTATCATATTATTTTTAAAAAATGCTAGTATAGTAGTCTTGATTATTAAAGGTACATGGGTTTCTCTGAAAGTTTCTGGATGTGGAAAATGTATTTAGGTATATGGCAACGTCTGTTGCATATGTAGTAAAGCAAATCTTAGCATTTTCATCAAGAAATGTCACTAGTCATCCATTAGTCATTGCAAGTATGCAAAATAGAAATGGTGCCACTTTATTAGAAATCAACTCATAAAAACAAATTTATGAAATTTAATGTAATGAAAATATACAAATTGTACTTAACTAAGATATGAAGTTAAAGATGTACTTTAATCAAAAAAGGATTTAAATTATGTCTTGTATTTAAATTTGATATTCATACTCATGTTGAGTAACTCTTCTTTCAACGTTTAAATATTTTATAGTCTAAAACAGGGTTTCTTAAAGATTTTTTATTCACAACCCCATTTATGATTGTGATTTTTTTTTGTGATTCAAAAAATATGAAACAAAGATATATACAAATTTGCAAAAACAATAATGGTGTACTACCACAGTTCACTCTTGTGTTACAATGGAAAAAAGACAACTGAATACACTGAAAAGTGACAACACTACACTAGTTCACACTACAATCGGTGTTGCTGAATCATTGTCTCGCTGCACCAGAAGTGACACAAAGCGCAAATCACGAAACTTATGACACAAAGCGTGCCATTTTCAAACTCTCAAAAATCATTTTCAATATTTTGCATTAAAATCTCCTGACCCCCAAGATTTCTCTAAGTGACCCCAAATGCGGTCACAACCCATAGTTTAAAAAGCCCTGGTCTAAATGATTTTGATATCTAAATTAAGGTACATTTATCTTTAATGTTATAAAATGGTTAGTTTAGTATCTGAACATTGAAAAAGTATTTTCAGTGTCTAAAAATTTTTATTGAAAACTGTCTTAAAATTAATCTTGTTTTTTGTATTGATTTGTTCTGCTGTTTTATTTGTGTGTGAAAAATTACAAGAAAATAAAACAATAAAATATTTTATGATAGAAATTGTTTAAAATGATGAATGTACTAGATTTCAAATGAGACAGTTCTTCAAACTTGTTAGTCATTGAATTGGCCATTAGCCATTGGCAACATTATTAATACATGTTTGTTACTGCTTGTTATATATGCTAAATCCTGTTAATCTTTTTATTTAATTGCGAATGTTTTTGACCCTGTTTAAATTAGCTTCAGCCAATAATGGTTGTAAATTTCTAGAATAACTTACATTTGAACTTAGTAATATGTTGTTTAAAAAAGAATGAGTGTTCTTAAATTTAGAAGACGTGAACATATTTTGAAACACAAAAATAATGTATGAAATAAAATGCAAACATAAACAAAGAAGAAAATGAGATAAAAATTGTGCAAAAGAAAGATATAATGGCATATCTAATTTATAGCTTTAATACACTGTTGGCTAAATGAGTAAAGTTCTTACTATCTAGGACAAGTTCCCAGCTTTCATTGAGCAACATAGCATCATTAGTGTTAACACTGTTAATGCTTTTATTAGTGATTTACAAAACATCTACAGGATTTTTATTGTGTGTGCAAATGAATTTGCTTTCAGTGTCTTCATTTCTCTAAACTGTAAAAATATATCTATAATTGCAATACAATTGACACTGAACTTTGAATGTACTGCTTCCTGAACTTTTGAATGCACAGCCTCTCAACCCAATGAAGTGCTACTTCCATTATATGTTTGCTGTGCTATTTAGGATTAAATTTTCTTTCATATGTTAGTTTTCTGTTTCAAAATATGATAATTCCTTTGAAATTTAAAAACACACTTTTTTTAAAAAAAAAAAAAAACTTGTTTTTTCTCTGAGTTGTGTATCAGCTGTTGTAGAAGTTTACAACTGTTATGGCAGAAACTGATCTAAAAACTAAATTAATACAAAAGTTGCTTTTAGCCCTTGATATAATTATATCAATTAAATTAAATTATCCACAACCGTGAGGCAGATAATAGTGAGGGCTTATCAGACCAATGATGGGCACAAATGCTTAGGAATCAAAGCGAAAACAATTTAATAAACTCAAAAAGTTACTACATAAGTGTGAAAACGAAAACCCAAAATGCATTTCGGACTATTTTCCCAATTTTCCCTGTTTTCTATTGGGAAAATAGTCCAAAATGCATTTTGGGTTTTCGTTTTCACACTTATGTAGTAACTTTTTGAGTTTATTAAATTGTTTTCACTTTGATTCCTAAGCGTTTGTGCCCATCATTGGTCTGATAAGCCCTCACTATTATCTGCCTCACGGTTGTGGATAATTTAATTTAATTGATATATATGATCTAAAAATGTTCAAAAACATTCTCAGTTAAGATGATTAATTGGCTTAGGCTTCTATAGCAAGCAGTAATAGAAACATATATTATTCTTCAAAAATGAAAGTTTTGAGCATTATTATAGATTTTCTGTTAAATAAAATATAACTGTGTTTTGTGATGTCCTGTCAAATCATAAATTCATAAATATTGATAAATTATTACATGTAACAAACATCTAATCCAAAACTTGCAATAGTAGGGGGAGAGTCAAAACATAAGTAAAATTTTCATATGACAGTATTACAGAATAATGGAGAGAAATGAAATAAAAATATCTGCTTTTCTTCATAACCCTTCATCTTTGTGCATATGGTCCACCAATGTATGAGCTTCTGGATATCCTCTGAAAAACATTATTTCAGTTGGATCTTGAGCCAGGTCTGCATCATTTCCTGCATCTATCTCTTTATCATCTGAAAATTTTTTTATCACAAATGACTTTTTAGGAGTTCAAACAGTTGAAAATTGCAGGTGAGGAAAGATATTCCTTTAAGTTTGTAACAGTGCAAATGTCTTATTAATTCATTGCTTGTGGTATATTGTCTACTTTTTCAGAACCAGTTTGCTGCAAGCTTTGTGATATCTCAACTTGTTATTCCCAATGTTGTGGGCTTATTCATGACTCAGGCTAAACTCTTCTACATTTATGAATTCTCTGATCAATTTCCTCTGTTGTTTCCACAGTGATCAGGTGTCTAGAACAATTGGCATTGTTCACATTTTCTCCCAATTCTTGAATATTTGTATTTACTGATACACAGCCACATGATAAACCAGTGTTTCTCAACCTCTAATGAATCGTCGCCCCCTTCAATAAAACCGTTACGTAGTATCACCCCCTTTACTATAAATTCCGATGCCAAGGGCCAAGGCTAATGCCAAATTCGTACTGCATTGAATAGACTAGTGACTAGTATAATGTTATTTGTTTAATTATTGTACGTTATAATGAATAAAATATCTAATTATTCTTAATATAATGTTTTACTATATTGCCCTCAAAATATAAATTGTTACTAATTGCCCCCTCAGCATGGAAAAACGCCCACATGGGGGCGATATTGCCCCCCCCCCCCATTGAGAAACACTGTGATAAACAGTTCTTGCTATGCTGACTTTTATTTGGTGATAAATTTCATTGATTTCATTTCCTCAGCATTCAAAAATAAACAAAAATTATATCACTTCAAGTCACTTTCACACTGTAGCATTACGATTTGAAAATTGCACTGTCAGATACAGATGTAGCAGTGCTTATTCAGTGTATGTGTAATGAACCATTTTGGTTTAGAGATTAACAGATTATCTAACATTCTAATTGTAATGGCAGTTATTACATAATACTTAAACTGACTTTCCTTCATAACTTTCTGCATGAGTATTACATTTAAGTATATTTTTCTGGTTGGATATATATTTGATTACATTTATTACCATTTTGTTTTGATTTTCAAAATATGAAAAACATACATGCATATTTGTTTTTATGCTAAAAATAAAGTTCAAAATAAATGTGTAGTATTTTGAATATTAAGAAGTTTATTTATATTGATGATAATTTAACAATAGTCTAATTATATTTACAGATGGCGAATTTAATATTTGGGGTGAACCAGGAAACGCCTGGGAAAAAGTGAGTGTGGATGATCATAATAAAGACAGTCAATCAGACATGACTTTGGAAACATCGTCGGGTAATGTCAGTACCCCAAATTCTCTTTCTGGATCTGTGATATCTAGCTCAAGCCTCTGTGGTGTGCAAGGTACAACCACCTGTATCATTGCTTCCACTGGTGGAAGTCTCCACAACCACAGTAACGCTCACCATGGAGTGCAAAGCTCCAATGCAAATTCCTTTGAAGCCAGTCACTGTTCAGGTTCTTCCATGCTGGGTGGATGCACCCTGAACCAGGGTAATCCTCAGAGCAGCAGCAATAGTCAGAGTGCACAATCTCCCTCATCTACTGAATGGGGGACTACTAATTTTGAGCCAATGGACTCCTCTATCATATGGGGTGGAGCAAGTACTGTTGGTGACAGACCTCAGGGCAGTAATATCCCACAGAACCAAAAACAAAACCCCATAGGGGCCAAAAATACTTCAGACTTAAGCCTGCAACAGGCTACTACTTGTTCAAATAATCCTCATGGTAATTCAGTAAATGGACAGTCATCACATCAGCAAGATATGCAATCAGGTTTGCACAGTGCTGATTGCATGGAAAGATATAGTGACTGTGTCTCAGGAACAGCAAGCCCTTTATCTGGGCCTGCCAATCACTCCTCAAATGGAAGAAGTTTTCCAGGGTGTAATAATAATAATAGTTTCGGAAATGGATTAGGAAGTGGAGGACATTCCAATAACCTTCATCAATCTCAGAACCAGCATCTAGTAGGTAATTCACATGCTGGGGAATCCTGTAGTTCTCACAGCCAGAACATTTCCTATGGTGCTCAGTACAATTCTTCTAATAATATGCCCAATAGTCAGGTATCAGGAAATGATCACAGTTCCTCAAATATCCAGAACAACCCACCCTATCCAGGATGGCAAGGGCTCAATTCAGGAGCCAATGGTTCTTCCTATAAAGGATGGAACATTCCAGAAAATAGTGTATCAGGGAGAAATGCTTATGTGAATCATAGCAGTCACACAAATGCAAATACACCAGATAGTTCAAAAAATGGAGGATCCAGTCATAAAACAAACAGTGGTAGTATTATAAATTGTAATATATTATCTCATTCTGCTGAATCATCCAGTGACAATATGTATGAGGGATTAATAGGTGCAACTGGAGGATCTAATACCCCACCACTAGACAGTATTGCTAGGAATAACAATGGAAACTATCAGAGAGAGAGTACAAATTCTGGGTGGGGTATGCCACCTCGTATGGGCCTTCTTGGTGGTGGTGAAAGTTCTTTAAATAATGGTACTTCAAGTTGGGGTGGACCACCACCAGCAGGAACCAGTTCTGGGTGGTCTAACAGTTCTAGACAGAATTCGGGACCATCAACTGATCTAGCAACTACACCAAATCAAGGAGAAACGTCAACTGGTAAGCCTATTTTTTTTATAACTTATTAGTTATTACAGTAGAGCGCCAATTATCCGAAAGAATTCCAGTTGGCAAATTTAAATTTTTTCCAGTGCTGTGGCACTGCAATCTTTTGCTATGTCTTGGGCTACTCAAATATTTTACGTTTTTGATACTAAATTAACTTCTGAAGTAAACTTTTTATTGTTTTTATACTTTTCAATATATTTATTTTGTTTGTACAAAATAAAAAAATAATTTTTAACGATACAATAGTCATCGTTAGGCTTAACATCGACGAAAATTCAACGCAGAGCGACACGCAACAGAGAAAAATTTCAACATGGGATAAATTAATATATTTTTTCGTACATAATCGGTTATCCGAAATATCGATTTTCCGAACAACCCCAGTCCACAATTGATTCGGATAATCGACGCTCTACTGTAATTATAGATTAGATTTAGTAGGACAAAATGAAAATCTAATTTTCTGGAATCTTATATTTGTTAATTTATATTTTAGTATATCATGACTTAAAAAAGGAAGTAGAATACAATCAACTTGCTGTAATTTTTTTTAATAATAATAATTATTTATTGATTGATTAAGCTGTTTTCCATGGTGTAAGAATACAGCTGATAGCACTCCTATTGTTTGACTGTCGAAAACTTGTGTCAGGACCCTCTTTGATCTATATAGGCTCTTGTGTTACCAACTCCAACCAACCAACTTGTCAGGAATGTAGTCGTACTTCAGACATTTTTCACCATGTGCCATTTTATTGGAAAGTCCATTTTGTATCGTTTACCATTTACCATTGCCTCATTTGATAGTGTTTTTAAGAAATTCTTACAAAGTCATGTCTTTTAAGTTATATGTGCATAATTGCAAAGAAACAAGTAATAAATGTATTTAAGCACCAAAAGATTTAGAATTGTTTAAAAATGGAAACGAGTGATATTTTTACCAGATTCATTGCTTGAATTAGTTTGACACACATCTGAGTCATTATTACTTTTATACCTGCTTTTCAGTGGATCCTCCACAAAGTCTAGCAGTTATGATACACTTCTTTTCGCTACACATTCCTGAAGTCTATAATGCAAAAGTGGGCTGTTTAAGGCAAAAACCCAATTTGCTCTACTGACATCCTCACAACCTCATCTCTGCTTTTCCATGCATCATCACATACTTATTTTATGACTTTCTCATAGGAAGCAGACTGTTTCTGAAATTTGTAAATTCTTCATTCTCAGTAGCAATCCACTCTTCCCATTTTTTCTCACCATGTTTAGCAAGAGTATTGGTATAAGTATTGAGGAATCGTATTAAAGGGGCTATACTGCTTGGAATGTAGTAAATATTATTTTGTTGTTTCATTGTGACCTATACATCTTTTCATAAATGTTCTTGAGCCAAGACCATAAGAAGTAAACATTTCAGATTGAATAAGGAATTGTGTTGGGTATTCCAAGAATTGTAATATACTCTTCTATAAACATTTTTTTATCATTACTCCAACTTTCATTCCATACACAAGACAGCTTTTTGGGAAGTTTTTTCTTTATTTTTCAAATATAAATGTAGGAGACAATCTCCAAATTTTTCTGTTTTTGGATCATACACAATAGTCAGTTCAATAGAGAAGTGCACTTTTTTTTCCTTCCAGCATTTATCTGTCTTAATAACCTTAAAATCCATGGAATATTTGGCTGACAGATCAAACTGGAACTGGGATTCATCAAATGAGTTCATATTATGATATATTTCTTCATGCCATTTGAAAATGTTTTACTTTGTCAGATGCCTTTTGGGCATTTTTTTCCCTACACTAGTAACATGATATTTGACAAATTTATTCCTGTGCAGAAAATGGATCAACCACCTATGTGATGCCTTAAGTTCTGATTTGGTTTGGGTAATTTTGGAGAAAGCTGTTCTTCTATTTCATGAGTATTATTACCAGTAATATCACCTTTTCACCACACCTCTTTAATCCACTTAACCAATGCTCATTCCATTTTTGGATATCTATCACCAGTTTTATAATGAAGATAACTCATTTTTATACTTTAATTTTCTGTCACTAGATGCAACCAAAATGTCGTGTTTTTTCATAAGCAGCCCTTAGGTAGGGGTGTACCAGTATCAATACTATGTAAATAATTTTCTTAGATACAAGTAGTTTTTGTGCTCAATACTTTTCTCATATATCTGATTTGGTATTGTTACACTATTCACACAGGTAAGATTCAATTCAACTGAAATTGGAATTTGCAGCTAAAACAAAAACCAGGTTTGGGTTTTAAAGTCAGTTTCAACCAAAATTAAATCTAACACTATTTTTGGTTAAGTTAAACTTATATAGTAAACAATAATGACCAAAAATCAATAAATTTATTACTTCAAATTTTATTTTCAGAATCTATATACAATTCAGATTACTATTTATAAATTTGCCAATTATTTGAAAAACTTGAAAATATATTAAAATTTCAAATCAACTGATACAGTATTGGTAACATTTAGTTTATATTAGAAATAGATTTTAATAATTTGTTAGTAATAAATATGCTTTATTCAAATTAATTACATTTTATTATACAAAACATTCAAAATTCAATCTACAGAATGAACAGCAACAGCTGGCAAGATTTACAGTTTTAATGCTCGGTATCAATACTGGCTGGTATCAATACTTTGAGATCATTACCAATACTTTAAATGTGGTTTTAAAATATTGACACTGCTATCAAAACTACTTGTGATACCTGTGTTGTGATACCTTGTGGAATTGGGACATCTTTATCTGTAGCATTAATTTTTGCTATCTTAAGTTTTCAAGAAACTACTATACAGTTTTTGAATTTTATATGCTAAAGCCACTTCTTATTTGAACAAATTTTCTTTTATCTGTTTTTGTGTACAAGATTCTTAATAAAATGCTTGACAAATACCAATGTCAACAGAACTCAGACAGTGAATTCCAAGGTTCATTCTCTCACAGGAAAATATAATGGCATGATATAATATGAGATAAAAGTGTTTTTGTCAAAATTGTACAATTTTGACAAAAATACTTTTATCTCATATTAAAAAAATTGTCAAAATTGGACAATTTTTGCACATTTATATTATGGTATGCTATTAAATATGGGAGTAATATATTAAATTTTAGAATATTGATTTTTGAAATCTCGAGTGGTGTGTATTTATGCAAGTTACAGAATTTTTGATTTAATAAGTATCCTTCTAAAGTTAAAACAAGAAAAATTTAAATAGAGTATCTCCATTTCATATATATATCTTACTGTAAAAGTCTTAAGTCCAGTAACTCTTGAAAATTACTGAAAAATTTGCATATTGGACTTTACTGGTACTGACTGGTAAAAGGTCAAAATCCCTGATAAAATGTCCACATTTTGGACTTTACCTATAGGCACGGGTGAAAAAAGTACAGTAATACATCGACTTACGCGATTTTCAAAACTCGTGGATTCGTCTTTTGTTTGAGTGGCACACAGCTCTTGATTACTCACTCCCCCCACACAATTGTTCAGCTTACATGTTTGGATGTGTCGCGCAGAATTGACGCACAGTTACAATTTAGTGTTATTTATTTCTGTGTTTGTTATATATACGGAGACTCGAGAGACTCTATATGGTGATTTCTTGTAACCGTGAATGAATCAAAAGATGTGATAAGATTAACGAGAACATTTATTAGCTTGCTTACATCCGAATTTGGATTTTACACAAATTGCGAAATTATACCCCGACTTACACGAATTCGACTTACGCGGTTATCACTCGGTCCCACCTATCGCATAAGTTTGGGGTATCACTGTATTATATGTATCTGTTGTTTTGTAATGTACTTAAAAATACAAATTAAGAAAATGAAAGTATTCAACCTCAAAAACATGTAATTTTTAATAATGATATAAATAGTTTTTAATGCCATACTATACACCATTTTCTCAACAAATTATTCTCATCAGTTTCACCAACACCTAATTTATGCTGAGCTTAAAATTTTTATTTTGCTGTTTTCAACCTATAAATATAGGCCATTGTCAGGCTTAAGATTATAAAAAGTTTCAAAATGGAACATACCGTTTTTTGAATATCTTACATTTTTAAAATTCAAAAGTAATTTAATTTTTAAAATAAAATGAAGGAAGTGTATATATTAAAACAAATAAAATAAACAAACATTATAAAACAGTAAAGAAAGCTAACTAGANCAAAAGTAATTTAATTTTTAAAATAAAATGAAGGAAGTGTATATATTAAAACAAATAAAATAAACAAACATTATAAAACAGTAAAGAAAGCTAACTAGAAAGAAACATGATTTAAGGGTTTATAAGTCTCATTCTTTTTTCTATTATATACTTCCATGCTGTTGGAAGTGCATTAGCATCCCTAGCATTTAGGCAACGGTTTTTCATTTTTTTTTTTGTAAATTTCAACCTTTTACATCTCCAACGCAATGGATGGAGAATGCATTATTTTAATGACTTTTGCCTTTTCTCATTTTACAACCACTCCTTCAGTCTGCACCATAATTGGTAATATTGTGTTGTGTTCTTTTGTCAATGTTGTATCTATGTTCTCGCAGACGTACCACCAGGTTCTTCTGATCACACCCACATAATCTTTTTCAATTCCTAACTGTTGGTTTTCAAATGGTATTTTATATATCCCAGCTTTTTCTTCCTTTTTTTATGCTGTCTTTATCATTCCACAGTAAGTTACAGATGTTGGGTGCTCTTTTATAGATCATTCTCAAGATTTTATAATAAACTCACTCATTCACCACACCTCCTAATGCTTATTGTGTGTGAATTTGTTAATTTTTTTTGAGATAGTAGTATTTTTTTTTTTTTTTTATTTATCATTCTTATGAAGATGACAAAGGAGTATTTGTTGGCATTAGAAAAAAAAATTATGAAAATGGCTGTTTAGTATTTTTTTTTTTTTTTTAACCTCCTTGAGATGGTCCTGCACATTG